CTAGAGCAATCGAGACGGCTGCCCAGTCGCAGGTTTGTAGTATGGCACATAATATGTGGCAACATTGAATGTGTGTGGGTGTGTGTGGGTGTGTGTGTGTGGGGTGGGGGGGGAGTTGCAGTAGTCCATGCATATATTCAGTAAACTTTTTCAGTTTCAAGCACTTATTACTCAAACTCTAAATTTCTAAAGGGGTTATTGGTAGATACAATAAATACTGAAGTCTGAACCAGTTGAACAGAGTGTAGAAGTAGGTAAATAACATAATTCAGAAAGAAAAAAAATTGTGTGATAAAAGACTGGCAGAACCTCGGGTTATCTTTGAAATGACAAGGAAACGTGTCGTGAGAGGTATGGCATTTCTTCTTTTCGCTGTCATGATCTGAGCAGTGTTTTCATGGTACACAAAGATGAACTATATTCTTTACCGAACAACTCGCCAGACGTTGATTATGACTTCTTTAGTTACTAAACATTTAAAATATGCTGCCGTCCTTCTGTGCTAGTCTTTAAAGTTAAAGTCAGTCCCCACAAAAAGATACTGCCCTTTGGGTTTAATATCTGATACCGAGAAGGGGATATATGATACTGGGGGATGCTGTGATATATGATACTGAGGCTGTGATATATGATACTGGGGGAAGGTTGTGATATATGATACTGGGGGAAGGTTGTGATATATGATACTGAGGCTGTGATATATGATACTGGGGGAAGGTTGTGATATATGATACTGGGGGAAGGCTGTGATATATGATACTGAGGCTGTGATATATGATACTGGGGGAAGGTTGTGATATATGATACTGAGGCTGTTTTATACGATACTGAGGCTGTGATACATGATACTGAGGCTGTAATATGTTATACTGAGGCTGTGATACATGATACTGAGATATATTATACTAGGGAAGGTTGTGATATATGATACCGAGGCTGTTATATACGATACTGAGGCTGTGATACATGATACTGAGGCTGTAATATGTTATACTGAGGCTGTAATACATGATACTGAGACTGAGATATATTATACTAGAGAAGGTTGTGATATATGATACTGAGGCTGTTATATACGATACTGAGGCTGTGATACATGATACTGAGGCTGTAATATGTTATACTGAGGCTGTGATACATGATACTGAGATATATTATACTAGGGAAGGTTGTGATATATGATACTGAGGCTGTTATATACGATACTGAGGCTGTGATACATGATACTGAGGCTGTAATATGTTATACTGAGGCTGTAATACATGATACTGAGACTGAGATATATTATACTAGAGAAGGTTGTGATATATGATACTGAGGCTGTTATATACGATACTGAGGCTGTGATACATGATACTGAGGCTGTAATATGTTATACTGAGGCTGTGATACATGATACTGAGGCTGTGATACATGATACTGGGGGAGGTTGTGATATATTATACTGGGGGAGGTTGTGATATATGATACTGAGGCTGTTATATACGATACTGAGGCTGCGATACATGATACTGAGGCTGTAATATGTTATACTGAGGCTGTGATACATGATACTGAGGCTGTGATAAATGATACTGGGGAGGTTGTGATATATGATACTGAGGCTGTGATATATGATACTGGGGGAGGTTGTGATATATGATACTGAGGCTGTTATATGCTATACTGAGGCTGTGATACATGATACTGAGGCTGTAATATGTTATACTGAGGCTGTGGTACATGATACTGAGACTGTGATATATGATACTGAGGCTGTGGTACATGATACTGAGACTGTGATATATGATACTGAGGCTGTGGTACATGATACTGAGACTGTGATATATGATACTGATGCTGTGGTACATGATACTGAGACTGTGATATATGATACTGAGGCTGTGGTACATGATACTGAGACTGTGATATATGATACTGAGGCTGTGATATATGATACTGAGGCTGTGATATATGATACTAAGACAGTTATATGTGATACTGAGGCTGTGATATATGATACTGAGGCTGTGATATATGATACTGATGCCGTGAAATATAATACTGAGATCGTGCTATATGATACTCAAGCCGTGCTGTATGAAACCGAGACCATGATATCTGAAACTGTGGTCCTGATGTCTAATATCTATGACATGATATATTGAAGATATGATATATAAGGTAGGTTTACAACCCCAGATCTTTGATTTTGGGAACAAAGTACATTGCACGATAGGCAACAGTGGCGATGTGTGATACATTCACACGTGTAAGCGTTAGTAGGCAACAATTACACTGGAGAAAGTATCTTGCGATATTTTCTTCCTCGTCGCTTCGCTGTTGACTGAGTGTGCGTGTGCAGCTAGCATTGTTGTTATAGAACTGACTGACTGGTAGCTTTCACACGTTTCTGGCTTCTACATGAGTAGCGGTAACATGCACTTCTGTTCGTTATGTTTGAGATGTAAACAGTGTGGAGTGTTTGTAAAAAGTCGGGTGTAGGGAGATGTCAACCAGC